GTCTCTTACTCTGGACAAGCTCATGAAATTTCCACTCATGAGTGTATCCTGGTTCACCTACCCTAATTTGGAGCCTTTTTTTTTTTTTTTTGGATCAATTTATAACTAAGTCAGGACTTCGACCATTTGACATTCAATTCATGCATGTGTCTTAACTTCAAATTTTAATTATGGATCACTACAGTATGTAGGATTGTAGGAGCTGACATTCTTTAGAAAACCAATTCCGATTTGCATTCTATTTTGCTTTTGGTGGAGCATGGTTCTATTTCTATTCTCAGGAACAACAGAGGAGGTTTGCTAGATAGAGTGGAACAAATGAAGTGTACACTATTTTATTTTTGAAATGTAATTGATTTATTTTGTTAATTGTTGAAGTGTAGTTAATGTAAATAATTTCAAATCGCGTAGAATTGTATTGGAGCACTTGATGGGACACAAATATGTACATTGGTTCCAATATTTAGAAATGCAAAGCACAACTTAACACAATGTTATGATAGCTTGTTAGGATGCATTTTTAAGCGGAACTCAAATTTAGCAGGATTCGCTTTTTAATGAGAACTATTTTGAATATTTATATATATATTATCTTTTCCCCTTTATAATTTTTAATTTAGATTTGTGATAAAAAATGGTTTATTAAAAGAAATCCTTAGTTATAATTTTTTACAGTTTTAGCATTGAATTGCAACAAAAAAATGTTAACAGTGATTTTTAAAATCTATAGAAGTTGTGGGACTAAATATTGTATATGAATATTTTTTCTTAAAACGGAAACTATTTTCATCTGCTAAACATTTTCAAAAATTTTCATTTTCTAGTGAGTATGAAAAGGAAAACTTTTTTTGGGAAAAGAAAAGGAAAATGGAAAAAAAATTTCTCCTGCCAAACACATACTTGATTTCTTGAATTTTCTAATCCAAATTCTAAACAAATTATGTAAGGATTCAATAAATGTGCTTGAATCTCGGTGTATTTTGGTCCATTGAAGTTTATAGTTACAAGTTTTTTGCTTTGTTTCATTGAATTGTATGAATCCTTGATAACTCTGGATCATATGTAAATATTCAAAGCGAAACTCTATAAACTATCCTCATGCTATTTGTTATTTCTGCCTTGGTTAAGGCATTGGATTTTCTTTTTAGCCATCGAAACTTGTGCACATGCCTACTTGGACCATCAGCTCTCATAAAACGACGTGCTACTCAACTGTATAAAGCAAATCAAACAGTAACATGCAAATAAGCTGGCAAACAGGTGAGTTGACCCGGGTTCGGATTGGATCAACTTGAATAACAGATTATATGGGTTGGATCATAAATGGATTGCGAGTTGGAAATGTATAACCCTAACCCGACCTTAACGGGTTACAGGTTAATCCACGAGTAGACTTTATTTCAATTTTTTATAATTATTTTTATTAATTTTATTTTATACAAATAAAATTATATATATCTAAATCTAATTAAAGTATTGAAACTCATTAATACTAAATACGTTATAGTCTTAACCAAAAACATTTAAATTAAAAAAAATTATAAAGTTATAAATAACAATAAATTGATTAACAATATTAAACTTAAAATATTTAAATTTCTTGAAAAATAAAATTTTAATTTTAAAATCATCTTGAAACATTATCAAGGAATTTAAACCATTTTTTTAACGTTGAAATTGCTCTTGCAAGAAAATCTTTCACTAAATTATTATATTTATATCCTAGCATCACATCTTTAATATTTTTAATTACATTATCATTTCATTTATGATACTTGATAATTAGATCAAATCACATAATTTTTAGAGAAAAAAGAACAAATTATGAGTAAAAACTTAAAATAAATTTAAAACCATTTGAGTAATAGAAACGAAGTTGAAGAGAACAAATTGATAGAGAGAATTACTAATAAAAAAATTAATTAAGAATAATAAATATAATATTTTTTAAAAAAATAATAAAAAATAAAATAAACTAATCAACCTGTTAACGCATTAGTTGACCCTAACTTAACCCATAAGCTTTACAAATTAATGTTACTGGTTATTTATGGATTGTAAGTTGAAATACATTAACCTTAACCCATTTTGATGGGTTAAATTAGATCAGATTAACGGATTAAGTGGATTTTTGCCCCTCTTACTTACAAGTCTGCCTCTTTTCCTTGGACTTGTTGATGTCATTGGCATCAGACCACAAAAACAGTGCCCTCTCCTCGATTTTATTTATTTATTTATTTATTTTACTGACAATTATGCAGCTTATCAATCTCTTCTAATTATTGCATTTAATGGGAATAATTGACACAATTTTTGAAATGCTTTCTATTGCTTTCTTGTGATCAAGGTTTGTAAATTTTGCAGGAAGCAAGAGTACTGCCGGGAAGAATTGAATATCAGAAGGGAAATTTGGAAGCTGCACTGCATGTATTTGGAGGAATAGATATTGCTGTAATAACTCCCAAAATAGAACTCGCCCTTAGCAGAAGTGTAGAACATCATCATAAGAGACAATCTCGTAACTTGTAACATCTACTAACACCCAGTCTGAAAATTTTTTATTGCGGTAGTTCATGAAATAATCAAAAGAAAAAGCGGGCGAACTTCAAAGTTCAAACGCGCTCTAATGCCGCCATTTAATAAACAACTTTTTACATGCCTCCCAACAACAAACCAGAGCCATCCACGTGTACCCAGCAGATTCCACGACGTTCCCCCCTTAAATCCCCAATGACGCCGTACGGCGCAAGAGTGATTTCATAGTTGAGCAATGCTAGGGGCACTCGCCTCCTGCACTCTCCGGCCAACACTTTCTCTTTTATTGGGCTTCGTTATTTTGGTTTACGAGACGTTGTGCCTGAAAGCTTTTTAAAGAAGCTTACGTGGCCCAATGAAAGGGGAAGTGTAGGCCGGAGAGTGCAAAAAGCGAGTGCCCCTAGCACTGCTCTTTCATAGTTTCATTTTTCTTCGTCTCTAAAACGTCCGCTCGGCGGCACACATTTCTGATTCGCACCCCGCCGGACACGTCCTCCGAGTCATGTACCCTTGGGTTCTCCACCTTCAGAAACTGGGTCTCGAACTCAAATGCCCTCTCTGGTTCGTATCCCCTTACTAAGCTTCTGCAATGGGTATTCTCAGTCTTCTCCCCAAACCCGTTTCTTCTTCTTCTTCTTCTTCTTCTTCTTCTTTTTTCCTTTTTTGGGTTTTTGTCTGCAAACCCATTTCTTCTTCCCCCCCCCCC